CATCCCGTGGGAGGCCAGTTCTGCAAGATCAGAGTTGTACAGACAACATCTGGTGTCCCCAAAATATTCCTGAGAGGTGCGGAAAGGGTCGTGGCACCCAGGCTTTTGGGTGCCAGGAAGGGCGGGAGGACCCATGGGTAGCAGATGGGGCGATGTCTGTGCCCAGACCTGGCTGGTCATGCTCAGCTGGACACCCCGGAGCGTGGAGGAGGCTGGAAAACACCCAAATACATGGAAAAAAAAAATCAATCTGGAGCTATAAACCACAAAAACCTCTGGCACCAGCAGCTCGGGGATCAGCCTGTCCCTGCACGGGGTTGATTGCCAAATCCTCCAGCTCCTCCATGCAGCCTTGAGTCCCCAGCACTGCTGGGACCTTGAACCTGTTCCTCCAGCCCAGGGAAAGCAAAGCAGCTCAGGGACAGGACTGACGGCACTTTCATGGTGCGCGGAGCGCCCCGGGGGAGCAGGATTGCCTCCAGATCCTTACAGCAACCCCATGGGCCAAAAAATAATCGCACTTGGTAACCTCAGAGAGCTTCGCCAACACTCCTGCTGTTAAATACGCCATGTATAGCGTGACCAAGGGGCCGGAGCTGGGCACTTGGCTGGTGTGTCTGTGTGGCTCAGCTATGCTGGGACAGCCATGGGCTGAAAGATAAGTTCAATACCCCAGGAGGTGTGGGGGGCTTATCAGCACGCCAGGCTGTTCCCCTGCTCCTGCAAACCCCTCTGTGTCCACGCCTTGCACTCCGCTTGGGGCAACACCAGGCAAGGGAAGGGCAGGAGCAGGCAGGGGTGTCCCACAGCAGACACTCATGACTGAGGGGGCTGTTGTCAGGCTCTGACCCTCTGAAGGCACAAAAACCCGGGAAATGGGACATGCAGGGAGTCAAACCCCATCTGCACTTGCTGGGCACTGTCATGTCCTTGAGTTGTCAATGTCACAGCTACCAAAACCTCGCTCCCAACACAGAAAACCCCCAGAACAGGGGGGTTCCTCTGGCTTGTAGGGATGGGCTGGCACCGGGAGTGCATCCAACTGCTCACCGTGAGCTCAGGGTGTGCCGAAGGGGTGCAAGGAGCAACAACCATCTCTGAGGAGCATCCCGACATCTCCCAGACAGGGAGGGGACAGGGACAAAACACTCTGGAGGAGGCGAGGGGCTGCGCCATAGCCCCTCCTGCTCCCTGGCACCGTGTCAGCCATTGCCACCACCACTGCTGCAGAGCGGGGCAAGCCCAGGCCGCTCGCTGGCTGCTGGCCCTGCCTGCACCTCCCAGCACGGCCTGGCGCTGCCTCCCCGGCACGGTGCCTGTCAGAGACGGGGAGAGTCCCAGAGGGGCTGAGGGCACCCACTCCCATGCCAGAGGTGACGCCGGGGAGCTCCCTCCCCAGGATGTGGCACCAACATCACCAGCCTCCTTCACAGCCCCCCTGGGTCTCTGCAAAAGGGGTTTCTGTCCCCGTCCCCCCCCCATCCCCTGTATCTACAGCAGGGTCATACTGGGAGTCAGAGGGGGAGAGCTGGATCTGTCCCCTTTCTCCCCACCCAAATCCCAAGATTTGGCCCATTTTACACCTCCCCATCCCCTTTTCCATTCACGAATAGCCAGACCATTTCCAGCACCAACCCTCCCTCCAGCTGGAAAATGTTCAGCACAATTAACTCCCACTCATTAAAATCATAAACAACCCAGGGGGCGGGGGGTGTTTGCGATTTTGGGGTTTAGCAGCCCAGAAGAAAAACCTCCTTGTCTTTTTGTAACAGCAGAACTTGATTCAAAAAGCTTCAAGCAGCTGCGCAGGCTGATTTGCTGCATCGTTCTCCCCAAAATCAGAGGGACATGGCCAGGGCCCAGCCTGCCCCACGCTTCCCTCTGAGAAAGGAAAGTCCAAGACATCTGCCTCCGTATGGAGAGCCTTTTTTTTTTTCCTTTATGCAAGATTTGTTGCTTATTTTTTTGCCTTTTATGTGTCCTGATCCCCAAAATACACATTATTCCCTTCCATACTTGCAGACTGAAAAAACCATCTGTAACACCCACGGCTCATCCATCAAGGCCGCCTGCGAGGAGCGTTACCAGTGCCAGAGGTGAGAACGGCGGCTTTGGGAAAAATCTGGGGGAGACGCTTTGAAAAGCTCATCGCCTTTGCTCTTTGGGTCGCTCCTCTCCTTGAGATCCAAGATGGAGCCTAAGCTCACCCTGGGAGGAGGTGGCAGAGCTGGAATTGGGCAGAGAGGCAATTTGGGGTGAGAACCGCCACCTCCGGAGTACGCTGAGCTCTCGCCTTGCCGGCCGAAGGGGGCATGGTCCCCACGGGGAGACGTGTCCGGTAATTGCCATCCGTGTCTGCTAATTGTGATCCGTGTCTGCTAATTGCCATCCGGGAACAGTTCTGAAGGAGGAGAGAGGCATTAAAGAGTTAAGCGCCAGACAGCTGAAGCAGAAGACCTGGCCTAGAGCTGGGGTCCCCCCCTTTGGAGCCGGGCACCCCTCATTCGAGCCAGGCACCTTCCTGGAGCCCCCCCAACCCCTCACAGGCCGCTTGAGCAAGGTCTCGGCCCCCTGTGCCACCGCCGAGCCGGGCCGCAGCCAGGGCCGGATTTCAGTGTCTCTATCCCGGCCAATAAACCTCCTCCCCGGAGCCCGACGGGTCCTGACCGCCGAACCGAGGCGCTGCCCCCGCCGAGGGGCTCCGGGGAACCCGGGCAGGGCCCGCAGCGCCCGGCCCCCGCCGCTCTGCAGGACGCCGGGTGGCACCGGGGCCTGCGGGAGCTCGCCCTCGGTACCGGGTCCCCCGCCCCCGCGGCGGCCGCTGGACCGGGACCGGGACCGGCCCCCTCCTCAGCCCCCGGGCGGCCCCGCCCCGCCCATCGCCATGGCAACGCGCCGCGCCCGGATGCGGCGCTCTCGGGGTGGGGCCACTCGGCATCATGGGACAGCGAGTCTGCGGCCGCCCTGTGCCAGCCGCCCTGCCGCGGCGGAGGACTACAACCCCCAGAAGGCCGCGCGGCGGAGGCGCGCCCCTCCTCTTCCTCTACGCTCTCGTTTCTATTGGCTCCGCCAAGCCGTCAAGCAGCGGCACGGCGGTACGTGATTGGCGGAAGGGCGGCAGGGCCGAGGCGCCGGCTATGGCGGTCGACCGGCGGCCGCCATTTTGTGTGTGTGGAGGCCGGCTCCGGGCCTCGCTGCCCGCCGCGGAGGCGGGGGTGCGCGGCGCGGCGAGGCCGGTGA